GAGTTGGCATTGATATTTATTTCAGAAATATGGTCTGTTTCCATTTTAATAAAGGAAGCAGACTCGAGCAGTAGTAGATTGGATTTGACTTTTATCTAATAAAAATGCCAAGTTGCTCTGGGCCCAGAAAAGTCTTCCTTGAAATTCCCTCTGCTATTTCGAGGGCAGCAGCGGCAGAGACCCGTCTAGACGGAGCTCCCAGAAGCCACCTCTGTACCCGGCACGTGACAGGCTCTCACCCGGCCCAGGCTTACAGACATACCTGGCAAAATCAAAAGCCCATCTCAGGCATTGAACCTGACAGCTGCAATCAGCTGCAAACCCCAGCTGCCCCTGAAAGGAAGATGCAGACACCCGGACCGTACGGCGGCATCGCCTCCATCAGATGTCACACCTGATGTGCTCCTGAGCCAGCTGGTGGCACTGCAAAGCCCAGAAGGCAGGTTTCAAAAGCAAACTCTTTCCTCAGGAAAAAAAATTGTGGCAGAATCCATATCACAGTAGCCCAAGAAAAAATAGCAACTTTTGGAGCAGTTAGGATAGCCAAAAGTGCATGTAACCGCGTGTGTACAAGTGGCTGCTCAGGTGGGAAACGGGGAGAAACTTGGAGGTTTAGAGCCAGCCATCGAGCACTGACTATGTGCCACTGTGCCAGGCTCTCGGGATACAGAAGTGGACAAACGAGACAGGCGCCTGCTCTCATGGAACCCAGTGGAGAGAAGCAACAAAATGAAACCAAGGATATAAAAATAAAAGATAATTTCAGAGAGGGACAGAGGCTATGAAGAAAGAAAACACGGTGGTGTGAGGGTGACCAGGGAATTGGCCTTCCCCCTGAGACTTAAAGAGGAGACAAAGCCAGCCATGCAGAGATTCAGAGGGAGAGCATTCCAGACAGAGAGAACAGCAAGTGTAAGGACTCTGTGAAGGGAAAGGTTTTGCATGTTCAAGAAGGAGACAGGCCAGGGTGGCTGGAGCAGAACGAGGGAGGGGAGAGAGGGAGGCGACGAGGTCAAAGGTTAGGGGCCACAGCAGGACTGCCCTCATTCCCAGGGTAAGGGGACAGATCTACATGCGAAGCTGGGTTGTACCCGCCGGAGACTAGAGATCTCAGCAAAGTCAGTTTGCCTTTCAGCTCCTTAGTTTCTCCGTCTACACATAAGAATAATCATCCCCCTTCCCAGGGCTGGGCAGCCATCAGATGAGCTGGCCATGGAGTGCTTAGCAGAGACCTGCGCACAGTAAGCGTTTAATAATGCGGGCTCCCTGACTTTCCTCCTCCCGGTTCCTCCTGCTGCCGAGTCAGCCCACCACAAGATCTGAGCAGCTGCTCGGTGCAGAAATATTGCAAAACTCACCCAGGCATTTCCAAAATATTTTCTTGGCCAAAACCCCACTAGCAGCTAAGAGGCTGCGTTGGGAGATGGTGTCATTTCCCTAGACGGTCTGATCAGACTGCTTTCCTAAGCCCGTGGGCCCCGTGAGGACCGAGTCCCCGTGTGGCCCAGCCCTGCATCCTGGTGCCTGCCCAGGGTCTGACACATGGGATGTGCCCAGCCCTGGAGCCACAAACGGCAGCTCCCACTGGGGGCTCAGGGCTTGGAGCCAGACGGGATGGGTGTGAATGCCAGCTCTGCTACTTCCTGGCACAGCCATAACCTCCCTGGGCATCGCTTTCCCTGTCTGTAAAATGGGGCTGTATTTAGGATTAAATGAGTGATGGAAGTAAAATCCTCAGAACATAGGCGGGGGTGACGTATTATCATCAGACCTGGTGGGATGAGTTCTTCCCGTGGCTATTTTCATAACCCAGTCCAGGTGTCATCACTATAGCTATAGGATTCTACCAGTTGGTTCACCCCTGGCTAAGTCTCCCACCCCCTGAGCTGGGGGAGGCACCATGCCTCTGCTGTGACAGTGCCGCCCTGACCCCAGTATAGCTCCCCAGTCCAGGAACATGCCTTATTCATCTGCATGTCCCAGACCCAGGAGGGGGCCCAGCCCAGAGACGCATCGTTAGTAAAGATTTTTGAATAAATGAATGAATAAACGACTTTCATGTGGCCGCAGGAGAGCCTACTTCAGGTTAATTAAAGTGACTGAAGCTGTCATGCTGGCTTTCCAGCCCACAGGGGGCTGACTCCCCCCTGGCCTCTGACAGCAGAGGGGTCTTTTTCTTCTCCATTGTCTTAACTCTGAGTCTCTAGCGCCTCCGCTGCTCCCCCAAGGGAAAGACGGCCATCCCTGCCCACTGGGCCACCTATAAAAGGGCCACCCAGCAGAGGGGCTGTGGGGTCTGAGGTTCCTTTCTTGACCAGGAAGGCAGGATTTGGAAAACTCTGGAAGCAGTTAACAGCTCTCCACCACCCCTTCCCCCACTTCTCTGCGAGCCCAGGGTGTCAGGATCTCTCTCTCCCCACCCCACACATTCTCCCAAATGACCTCGGCGGTCCCCTGGCTTCAAGTATCTCCATTCCCAACCCTACACAACCCTCAAACTCAACGCAGACAGAGCATCATCGCGCCCTAACAACTTGTCCCCTCCATATCCATCGGTCGGTGATACCAGCCCTTGATTGCTGGAGCAAAACGTCTGTGCATATCCCAGGTTCCTCACTCGAATCAGACAAGCGGAGGCCATGGGCGCCCAGTGGTGGAGCAGCACACTGACCTCCGAGGGCGCCAGGCTTTCTCCACTCCTCCCCCCGCCCAGCAGCCCTCAGACAAGGACTGAGGAGAGTGACTGTCACATCTGGGAGATGACTCAGCCGCGTGTGCTCTGCAATGGCTGCCCCGGAGGGGCCCCCGGCGGTTATCACCCTGATAACAAGCTTTTCTTGCTTACTCCCCTCCCCTGCTCCCACCTGCGTTTTCTGGGACCACCCAAATAAGGGACTTGCTATTGAATCCTTATCTCAGGATCTGCTTCTGGGAGAACCCAGACTGAGACACTCGGACAATTCTTCCAGCAAAGAACTCTTGAATCCACCCCCTTTATCTCCACAGCTCAGGCCACATCGTCCCCCCACCCCCTCCCCGGGAATGACTGGCAACACATCTGAGCTGTCTGCTGGCCTCTCGTCTTCCTCCCCTGGACCCTTTCCCCACATTGCAGGTGGATGGATGGATATGGATATAGATAAACATATAGATATAGGTTTAGGTATAGATAAAGATACAGATAGTCTGGGTAGGTCTCTTCCCTGTGCAAAATGCCCCTGGGCTCCCCACTGCGTAGCCCACACCTCCCCACGGTCCTCCCTTCTGTGCCCCTCCAGCCCATCTCCATCCACTCTCCCCCTTGCTCTCCCGGCCCCAGCCACACTGGCCTCCCGTCCCAGCTGTTCCTGCTTCGGGGACTTGGACTCGCCAGCCTCTCTGCCCGGCAGGCTCTTTATTTGCTGACTCCATCTCATCCGTTAGGTCTCAGCTCCACGGCTCCGCAGAGAGCCCCCCGTGACTCTTTCCTCCATCCTCAGGCCCCAGGGAATTGGCCTGTCCTCCCCCAGCTCCCCAGCTGCCCCCAAGACAAGCCCCACAGCCTCCTTCCATCCGTGGTTTCCTGCCCACTCTGCAGGGAGCCCCCCACCCTAGCACAGACGTCTGGCATGAAACCCTGGCATGTGAGCCCACGGTGTGTGAGCCCAGTGTCCACATCAGGGCCACCCTGGTTCCTCAGGCAGGTCACTAGCATTTGGGCCATCTTCCTGGGCTGGTGCCTCCTGTGGGAGCTTCTTCCCTCCGAGTGAAGACATCACCCTCTCCTCTTCTCCACCCAGGCCTCCTCCCGGGCTCCTCACACACCTCCACCTTCTCCTTTCCCGCAGAGCCATCTCTCACTCAGTGACAGGATCGGAGTCAGAGACACCTGAGGTTATACCTCCTCTGCCTTAGTCCGGGGGTCCCCAGATGCAGACCCTCAGGTAGGAATCGGAGTGTAGGGAGGTCGTGGAGGTCCATGAAATGGGGCAGAGAGGGAAAGCAGCACCCAGAAGGGAAGGCAGCCAAGCCAGGGCCGCTGCGAACCCAACCCCACAGGGGGCTGTGCAAAACGCACGCCTCGGGACCCTCCCACTCCAGGGCCAGGGAGCTTCCCCTGCACTTCTCACATTCTGTGGGTGCAAGTCGGGGAAGCTCCCAGGCCCAGAGATGTGGATAGTGGCAGTTGGAAGGCACTGGAGCTTCCTGAGAGGTCTGAGAGATGGGGGCAGGGCACTGACAGTGTCTGCGCTAACTGCTCTGCCACTGCCCAGCTAAGCTGTGTGACCTTGGGCCAGTTACTCCACCTCTCTGAGCCTTAATTTCCTCAGCTGCAAAATGTGGATAGCAATCCCAGCTGTAGGGGTTTGGGGTCAGCAAGAATACGAGATCAGGCATGAAAAGCCCTTAGTATGGGGTGGCGTGGGGAGGGAGCACGTGGGGGCATTCAGCAGGCTCAGCTGAGATTTTGCCATTTTAACTTTAATCCCACATCAGTGCTTTCCTCTTCTGCCTGGAGCAAGGCCCCTTCTCTCTCTCCTTTTACCTCCCCTTTGCTTCCTGGTCCAGACATTTGTTTTCCTGATGGGTGCCCTCGGCTCTGTCTGTGGGGTCCCCCACAGCGGGGCATGTGAAGTCAGTGCAGTCTAAGCCTCCAGGAGCGTCCACGGCTCAAACAAACCTGTCCACTGTCACCTCCCTGGCCTGGCTACTTCAACCCTCATGCTGCTCTCCTTCAGCTCAATGGCTAACCCTGGCCTGGACTTGAGCTGCGGTCCGCCGGCCTGCCTGTAAGCACTCCGGTGTCCCTCTTGCTTTCTTAGCATCCAACCCCCTGTGGCCGCTGTGTGCAGAGGACTTGCTACGCTAAGACACCAGCCCCAGTTTCCCCATCTGTAGTGTGTGTCTGTGGGAGAACGCAGGGGTGCAGGGAGAGGTTGGCCGGGCTCATCTCCACAGTGCCTTCTCCTTGGGCGACCCACGAATATGTAGCACAGGCTCCAGCAGATGAGGCCACTTACGGGCGGGGTATCTCTCGTGGCGGCAAGCTAAGCGGAGGTCCTCCTCCTCGGTCCCATCCCTCTTCTCGATCCTGGAAAGAAAAGAAGCCAAAAGCCTGTGTAAGAAAGAGCAGGTTGAGCTGGCAGAGACCCAGGACCTGAAAAAGTGCAGCCCTTCTCCTCTGGAGAATGTTTTGCAAAGCAACTTGGCCCCACTGCCCCATGGGGTCCTTACCACAACCCTGTGAGGTGGGTGTCATTATCTCCACTTACTGATGGGGAAACTGACGCACTGGGAGGTGATGTGACCGATCAGGTGCCACACAGCTAATAAATAGAGGCAGAACAGGGATGCAAAGCCATGTGCTCTCACAAAAAGTTATCCAATTCTGTGCAAATGGTATATTACAAAAGAATGCGTACAGCTTGATTTGTTTAAAAAACTACACACTGATATGCACAAAAATTTATTTGGCTGAATATTACCACAAGGCTAATGGTGATTAATGCTAGATAATGAGACTATGGGGGATTAAATCTGGAGCCTTCTTTTGAATTTACTTCTACTTTCTGATTTGAGGGCAACAGACATTGATTCGCTGTATCACTTTTCTTAACTAAATTAAAACACTCGCTAAAGACATTTCTACCTATAAACAAATCCCTGGTCCTCTGACTTCCCGCACAGTGCTCTCTCCCTCCAGCAATGGCGAGAATTCCTCCTGTGTGGCTTCCTTCTCTGGCATCTCAAGGTCACCGAACTTCTGGTAGGGGGGCTGCCTCTCCTGGCGTGGGCGGGGATGACAAGCACGGAGCAGAGGCTGATGAGGGTCAGAGTGGAGGCAGCTGCAGATTCTCTGACACTGCTCCTCCCTCCCATCCCACCGATGACTGGGCCAGAGTGGGCGCAGCCGTAGTCCCACATCACACTCATCCATTTGTAACCCAGATAAATTCCAGCGCTCCACATGGTCCAATCCAGCCATGCATCAGCTTTAGAGACACACAATGAGTGCCCTGAAGTAGAAACAACTCACTCATTACTGAGTCTCCTCCAGAACACTGGAAGGACCCCCAGCTCCCTATCTGCGGCCCTAAATCGTGGCATCTCTCCTCCATTCCTCTCTTTGCCTTTTCCCTGCCTTGCAGCTCACCTCTCACCCCGTCTCACGTTCAGTGCTTCCCCCACACTCTTCCAGTGCCCTCAGCACAGCGTCTTCCCTTCTCTCCACCCTCCTGTTCTGTCGACCGCTGTCCTCTTCCCTCCCACGCAAGAAGTCCCAATCCTTTCCAAAGCACATGCCCAGCCGTTTCCTGATTCTTCCCAGTGTCTCTTATTCCCAATTGCACAGCTGCGTCCAGAAGCTCGGGGCTGGGGAAGGAGACACGGGCAAGGTGGTGAACGACGAGGAAGCAACGCCAGACATGGTCCCAGTGGAAGGGAGAGAAATGCTCATGCACTGATCATTTTGGTCCCCTAAGACTGTTCGCTCATTCATTCAACAGGAATTTCCTGAGGACCTGCTCCATATAGTTTGCACCAGATGCTGTGAGCAGGACAGAAAGGTCTACTTCATAACTCTGCCCTCAGAAAGCTTCCAGTCTAGGAGGAAGATGAGCTTGCACACAAGTTAGAAAGTGACAGACGTTGAATAATGCCACCCAGACATTGCCCACGCCATATGTGCCCAGGGGCTGGGCCTGTGCTTCCCAGGGGACAAACTCTGAACACGGTCCCTATTTACAGATATCTTCTGTGGCCTGGGGGCCCAGACAGCAGAACAGAGGCCTGAGTGTTGATGCCACAGGAAGGCAGAGATCCTACAGATAGTTGGTGCTGTGGGAAGTTCACTATAAAGGAAGATGACGTTTCTTTCTTTCTTTCTTTTTTGTCTTTTAGTGGAAATATTTTTGTTATTTTCCTGATAGCACAGGCTTGCTCTAAAAAAACAAAAAGTCTAACTCCATAGAGAGAGCAGAAGTCGCCTGTAATTACACCTCCATGTGGTGGGATCACCCCTGTTAGTAGTTTAGTGTTTATCTTTTCAGAATTAACTCTTTTTTTTTTTTAACATAAATAGTCTCAAATTAAACACACTTTTTTGTAACCTGATTTTTTTCACTTACCCATAAATTTCCAGCATCTTTTTATATCAGTACACATAAATCTCGCTCATCTTTTTTTCCTCATAGTTGTATGTGAAATAATGATTAATATTCGATACCCTATGGATAGACATTCAGGTGTTTTCCATTTTTTTCACTCTTTCAAGTAATGTTGGCTGTGTATCTAGCAAAGGGGGGGTGCTCCCCATCCCCAGGGGTGCTCGAGGCTGGAGTACTGCCAGTCATGAAGGTGCAACTGTATTCAAACACCGGATGGGAGGCTGGGCCAGGTAACCGAGCCCATCCTCATCCTGGAGCACCGCTTGGTCATGTCCAGCGCCTCTGGGTGCTGCCACGTGGGGGGCCTCCCACACCCTCCTGCATTCCAGAGCCTTAACCTTGAACCAAGTCCTGGACCCACTCCAGGCCCCCACTTCTCATGGCTTCTTATCCTGGGATCCTCTTCCTCCAGGCCTCACTCTGGGCACCTCCTTGGGCTCTGCTGGGAGCCTCAGCCCTAGGTAGAGGGGCCAGTGGGCACAGGAGCTGATGTTGAAGGCGAGAACCAGCCCCCCTGCCATGGCCCCTCCCCTCCTTGTCACCCAAACCCTGCTGCTGAGCAGCCCGAAGTTCAACAGTTAACATGTCAAAAAACACGGGCCAGTTAGTGAGCATCTACTGTGGGCCAGGACTTGTGTTGCTCGGGGGGCCAAAGGGACGACGCAGAGAAGCCCCTGCCCTTGAGAAGCTCACACCCGCTGTACACAGAAACAATCACAACTTAACGTGCTAAGTTTTGAGCTAGAAGGATGTTAAGAAGGTTAAGTGTGACTGACTGTCCAGTCTGGCAGTTGACAAACTTTTTCTGTAAAGATCTAGATGGTAAATATGTGAGGCTTTGGGGCCAATATCATCTCTGTCACAGCTACTCAACTGCCCCCATAGTCCGCAAGCAGCCGCAGACAATACCAACAAGTGGGCGGGGTTCAGTAGACATTTATGTACAGCACGTGCTGGGCCCACTTGGCTCGCGGGACAGAGTGCGTGAGCCTCTGGTCTAGCCAGTGGTTCTCAGCGTGGAGGACCCCTGAAGTCCCCAGGGAGCTTAAATTAGCCAAGGATTGGGATGTGCAGCCCGGGTGGAGAACCACTTGTGTGGGGTCCACACAAGGAGGAAGGGAGGCCCCAGGACCGCTGGCTTCTCAGAGAGGGAGCTGGGATCACGTCTGGAGGCCTTTCTGAGGGCTGTGCTGCCATTCGGGAAAGAGCTGGTTTCCTTGCACAGATGCAGCCCCCTCCACCAGATTCGCCAGTGAAAATGACAGATCTGCAGGAGCTTGGCAGCCCTCTGGTGAGTGGCTGCGGCTTGGCAGCGGTTAAGGCAAGGGTTGATGACCTTCCCGTGGCCCACGGGGCTTCCTGGCAGGAAACCCGTGAGGACGAGGGATGTTTGGGCGTGGCTGAGACCTCGAGCCCTGCAGAGAGGACGGATGGTGGCCGAGCGCAGCCCTGTGCAGCTCACCTGACCGCTCTGAAACCCTGTGATCCAGAGTTTTCTCTGGGGCAGTGGGCACGATAGTGGTGGCAGGAATGACAGGAAGAACCACCACCACGGCCCCACTGTTTGTTGCGAGGACTGACGCCCAGGACCGGCCCAGAGCCAGGGCTCAGAACAGGTTCCCCACTACTAGGTTTAAACTTGTTTAATCATTGTTCTTCTGGAACATTCTACACTCAGAGAGAAGAGGATGGAGTTGATCTTATTCCCCACTTGTGGCCTTGGGGTCTAGCACAGCGCTTGGCCCAGAGTGTCCTGAGGAATGAGGACTGTTAGGAAGGAAGGGAGGGAGGGAGGCGGAGGGGACGAGGACGTGATGACCAGCAGCCTGAGGCTAAGCTCGGCCCACTGGGGTCTTCCAGGGCGGCTGAGCTTCGTGCAGAAAGAGAAGGAAGCCCTGCAAATGTCACCAGGTGACAATTTCCTTTGATCTGAACTATAATTTCCTGCAGGAACTATTTTGTGCTGTCTGGAGACAAGCTTTTTTTTTTTTGATGGTGGTGTGAGAAATTACCTACAAATCTAAACAAGTGTCTTGAAGGGTTAATGGGGGATGTTTGGGGGGAAACACGGCTCAGAAGGGGCAGCGGGTGGACCCCGTGCTCTCGCTGTGTCGCTTCCCTCTCCAGGTCTCAGGCGGCTCCTCTGTGAGGGGTTTGAGTCTGGACGCGTCCTGTCATCTCCGAGTCTTGACTTCCTCATCTGATAAATGGGCACGATCAAGTGCCTCCCTCTTAGGGTGGTGGTGGGGACTAAATGGAAGAATGAATGTACAGCTCGTCTGTCTAGAGTTCTGGAGCACTGTCATTACGTTATCGCCATCGTCGCCATCCTCCTCCTCATGGCGGCCTTTATGGTCTGCCAGTCTGTGACTCTACCTCACGGTTCCCGACGTGGAAGGATGTTATTTTAACATATTAACCAACGCTCCTTCCCCCCAACACACACACGCACCCCTTCCTTCCACTCCATCGTTTAGACCTGAGCCCCTCATTGCCTCAGGAAAGGGGTGTTTTGGAAGAAGCAGAGAAAAGGCTTCAAAGTACCAAACATCTCTGGATTTAGGGCAGAGGGAAGCCACAGGGGTCGCAGCACAGCCCTCCTTCCAGAAGAGACGGCGTCTCCCCAAATTGGGGACAAGGACAGTCAGAGCAGAAGCTGGGAATGAGTTGATGCTGTGGTGCCTGGAAGCGAATGAGCCACAAGGAATGGCGACAACAACAGAGGAACCCGCTCAGACTTCTAAGTGAGAAACAAATACATTTGTAAATTGTTTAAATCCTCGTTATTCTGGGTCTCTCGACACCCATTTAAACCTGCGTGCCAACCACAGAGGCACCACTGTCATCATCATGGTGACTATCATCCCCATTTTACATGTGAAAATTAAAGCTAAGAGAGACTAGTAACTTGCCCAAAGTTTAGTGG